CACATCGTTGAGCTGACATATAGTGATTTATATGAAATGTTACTCAAAACTGGGTTGAACCCAATGCACTCATTCATTCAATCATCATACATTGATGTTCGTTGTTAAAAATTAGTTTAGATCCTAAACACAAACCTCAATACATTCCTTGTCCCATAATTTTGACAGGTTTAGGGTCTAAGTGTGGCAAAGACACCTATACCACCCTTGAAATTCATTGTAGGTATTTTAAAAGGGGGTGCTTTCTAGAGATCTTTTCAGCTTCCGTTTTCTGTATAAGAGAAAAACTCTTCCAAATTAAGGAACACAACACTTTTTAAACCTCGTCGGGATACTAACCTCTTGATTTGTAGTCCTTCATCAAAACATTTTATTTTCAGTTTGATTGTTTCTGATGTTGTTTCACACTGCTTTACAAAAACATGGTGACAACTTGACCACATCTTGGTGAAGTGATGTTTATACACATACATATTTGCTGTGTACTTGGACATGTAGTACCAGTTTGAATTCAAGTGATTTTCCGAATGCCTTGTGTCTGAATATTATACTTTTACACGAGGTTTTTAACTGGTTAACGTGTTAAGAATTTGGAATTGTGGATTCTATGACTAGTTTTTAACAAGTTGCCATGTGCTTTATTGTTTTACCTCGCCGTGAATAGCCGGAAAATCGCTGATGCGTCGTAAAACATTATTCATTCATTCATTCATTCATTCATTCATTCATTATTTTTTACCAATTTTCAAACAATGTCCAGGGGGAGCTCATATTATTACAATATCAGTATAAATGTTCAAATTTCAAACGGCTCAATAAATTAGCTTCATAAATTGTTGCCTACATATCTAAATTAAAAAAGTAACTCTTTTATTGCTAAAATATGTCGAATTTGATAATGAAACTATTGCAATTTCGCGTTTCTAAGGAACTTCAATTGAATCTTATTTAAGGCTCTTCTAATTTCTTACTGAAACTATAAAAAAAATCCTTGTTTGCGACAGTATTAGAGCAGATCACGCCAGAGTATACCAAGACATGTGTCTCTATATTAAAACGTTGTTGTCACAAATGTATATTTTCTTTGCCACTATTAACTTACCTTGGTATATTTGTAATTTTTATGGTAATATTATACCGAGGTTTGTTGTTAGTCCTTGTGGTAAATGTGTAATACAAACCCGTGGATCTGATCTGAACTTCTCATTTCAGTATATAGTGTACATCTGATCCATATCTGACTTAATGCCAAATGCACTGTCTTCATTTAAGACATGTTAAAATTCTAAACATATAAATCTGAGTATATTCTTACAGTGTTCTTGAGTGATTTCTAAATTTATTTTGTTGCAAAACCGAACCTGTACACACACGCAACATTATCTATAATTTACGTCCGTTTTAAAGCCATTATTTTACCGTTTCAGACTGTAAAGACGTTTCCCTGTATGTTGGTAACTCTCCTGGCATCTACTCTGTCTGGCCGACAAGCTCCGCACAACCGTTTAACCTAGAATGTCTAGGCGTCAACGCCATTATGATGTTCAGGGACAAAACCATCAGTGGCTGCGAGGCGACACCCGGGACGTACTTCGCTTTTCATGGGCTTCTAAGTCTTCCCTTAAACAAGAAGGAAAGAAAGAAAGAAAGAAACACATACCCGGAATCCCCACGGGTCATTTTTATGGACAATATTTAAAAACGCCGTTTATTACTTGCCCGTGAAGAGATCACCCGTTTAATAAACATACAGCTGTATTACACATTGTGTAATACCAAAACGCGCGCTTGTGTACTCTCGGAACACGGTTCACAACATTCGTGACCAACTCGTGTTATTCCGGGACAAGCCGAATAGCGACTCGTGCCCCTCTCGTGGCCATTTTTGCGACCGGGTTCCGTCTTAGCGCAAACGGGCATACCTAAAACAATTGTCAACTCGTTGCGTAATAGTTCACACATTTTCCCCAGATTTCCCACATTATTTCAGATACAATTTAAAGCACATCGGGACATGTGGAATTATACAGTATTATTGAACATTATAACTGTGTCTTTGGTATATTTTTTGATGCAAGACATATGTAAATTCAAAAATTATTTCTGAGGGATTCTTTGACGAAGAACTTGAAATCATACGCGCATTCTGATTGGTTTGTCGTATTTTCGCACATAACATTCATCGATAGGGGGACGAGTCTTCTTGCAGGTTACGGAAAGGGGCGAGTGGTGACGAATGGGTTCACGAACAAATATTGAAAGCTCTCAACATCCGTTGGCTTATTCAAAGACAGTGCGTGTGGAGTTGATAGATCACTGAGAGGAGCTTATGCACACTCGATGACCCCAGCAACCTTGTTGCTAGGGTGACGTCACATGGCATTGTTTCGCCGATGGGTCTTGCAACAAAATTCCACAAATTACGTCATCGGGTATTGTGACGTTATTGTAAAGTTTGAGGTACAAGGCCCGTTCCACAAGGCGATCGTATTGTAGCGCAACGACAGTCGTTAGTCTAAGTTAAAGTATGTTAGTTGCGATAGTCTTAGCCCTACGATAATTTTGTGAATTCTAAAGGTGGACCGTTGTATGGTATTAAATTCATACCTTTCAACTTTTGACTTGTTTGAAGTATTATTCTGTTAAACTCAATTGGACTATGCCGTGGATCGTGTAGGTGTCGGCTAGCCTATTCATACTCAACAGTATAATTCTCAAAACGTTGTAAATGGCAAGTAATAAATAAAATACTAAACTCGCTCCCGTGTAAAACCAATTTTATGAAACTCGCGAATAGTTGTGGTATCTGACTCGCTTTCGCTCGTCAGATACCAGAACTATTCACTCGTTTCATAAAATTGGTATTACACGGGAGCTCGATTAGTATTCTATATTTATCACACACGAACTATATGCGTCGGGATTTGGCGATCCACGGTTTAAAGTGGATTCAAGCAATATACATTGCAGATGTTTGTTGTCGGCGGCAGAATAAGCCGAGTTTGAGCGAGTAAATCGTTGATCTGTGCCACGTGACTGTAACGTGACGCCATACCGTTAATCCCATTGGTTGATCACGTGCGCATGATCTTAATCATTATCGTTCTGTTTCGTAATCTCTATCGACAATTGTACCACTTTATGTTCTTAAAGAAAGGCTTAGTATTAAACGATAGATACAGATACTGCTGGTCATGTTTGACGCTCTATATTTATCAGTACATTATCCTACAAAAAGAAAAAAGAAAAACAACAACAAAAAACCCACCCAAACAACGGAAACAGAATCTGTTTTCCATTTCAATCAACAAAATGTTGATATAGCTAAACACTATGACTTGCGCATCTCAACCAGAGAATCGATCAATAGATAAAAGATATACCAATTCAATTAACAATCAATCAGTATATCATAGATACTCATTGTATCAATATTAGTTTTTGTTGTTGCAGCCTGACGTATGAGTGACCTGGTACAATTCAATAACCAATATCGATAGCAAGGCCCGGTTAATACGTGTCCGCCACAATTGAACGCACTCCACCCCCCCCCCCCCCCCCCCCCCCCCCCCACCCCCCCCCCTTCTCAAAATACATATTTAGAAAGAGAGCACACACACATAAACAGGGCGATACAATACGCCGAATCGACCACAAACGGACCCCTTTTATAGTAAGTTAGCATATTCCCGAGATAACTCCCGGGAGTGAACTGATTATAAAAAGTCCAGCTTGGCGGGAATTCTCGAGGTATGTTGTTACTGGACAAAGGAGTCTACGCATTGTCCAATCAAAATCGCGTAACGAAATGGACATCCGTTTAATAAACAACATGGCGACTGCCATGTCCAACTATTTGTGCCATGGCTCACTTGGCGCTTCATGCACACATATGTGCAACCAACCGTGCAACAAGGGCATGTTACTCGTCTTGTCATAAGAAGCGCGGTTCCACCCTGTGCTTATTTTAATGCCCTTCAATATAGACAACAGCACATGTGGTTTGGCTTAGGACAAAGAGCCCATGACCAGACCCCTGCAGTGTGCCTCATCACGGGAGCTTGCGGTTACATTTAGTACTTGAAAACATTGTGTTTGTGGTGGAATGAAAATAACAATGAATAAGATTCTACTCCTGCTATATTATTCATAATACCAGGTTGCATTACTCAACTGAATAAAGCCATCAATATGCATACTCATATTGTTGTTTATTATTAGATATTATTAGCTAAAATATTTTTCGATAAATGGCTTCCTCCATTGTCGCAGTTTTGTTAATAATTGCATTGCAGATTTCGATCGATTGCAAGATTTACAGAGCATGTGTACCGTCAACTGGGCTCGACAGGTGTTTTTAAAATCTTTTCATGTTTTGTTATCAACCTGCTCAAGTGATTTGATCCATTTCGCGGGGTAACCCGTTTCATGACAATATTAATCTCAAGTATCGATCAGATCGTCTTGAAAGGGCGCCGCCATTTTGGTTGAAGCAAATGCACATGATATGAGAGGTGGAACCTGATTCGTCAATAGAAGGAACATAGAAGGGACATAACTCGTAAAAGCCACAAAATTTCAGCCTTGTCGGTCAAGGTTGGAAAGTTGACTTTTACAGTCAGCTTACTCCCTTGCCTCGGGGGGATGAGAAGGTGAGGTGAGATCGGGTTTCACGTCGTTTCATAGTAGTGCAGTTGTACTCATGTCTAATAGTCTGCTAAATCATCGGGAACACTAAGAAGGGACTTCACACATCGATGTGGTCTTATATCTGCTCCTTCAGTACATTAGAATGATTTGTTTGTTGTTTAATGCCAATTAATAGTCCACTCTCCAATAGTCCAGCAATACAACGGCGGCTTGTTTATAAATGAAACTGGACCAGACAAACGAATTAATCGCCTGCAAAGTATAAGTGTAAGTATAAGACACATTCTAACACGGAATCCACATGTCGAGCATTGTCGATTGTTATTTCCAAAAATGTTCCAAAAATGTTATCAGATTTTCAGTATATTTATTCATTGTTTTCAGATAATGTCCAGTTCGGAGCTGTCTATTTCAACAGCTTCCAGGACGTATTTTGGTGACGTCTTTACGAGTACGTCTCGTTGGTGAAAGAGAAGATGATCGTGTCATGGTGATTAGGGATGTGGTGACTAATACCTGAAATAGAGACGTTACAATGGCAGGTTACGTTTCATCACAAGTGACATCGTGTTTACCATTCGACTAGAGTGACAAACATTTACGCACCTACAAACGGCATTACACATTAAAACGGACGCTACTGTTAGAAATATCTGGGTATCTACACCGTAACACGGACACTCCTGTCATAAACATGGACACATCTTCATCGTTACACGGACACTACTGTGAGAAACATCTACATATCTACACCGTAACACGGACACTACTGTGAGGAACATCTACATATCTACACCGTAACACGGACACTACTGTGAGGAACATCTACATATCTACACCGTAACATGGACACTACTGTGAGGAACATCTACATATCTACACTGTGATACGGACACTACTGTGAGGAACATCTACATATCTACACCATAACACGCACACTACTGTGAGGAACATCTACATATCTACACCGTGACACGGACACCACTGTGGGGAACATCTACATATCTACACCGTAACACGCACACTACTGTGAGGAACATCTACATATCTACACCGTGACACGGACACTACTGTGAGGAACATGTACATATCTACACCGTGACACGGACACTACTGTGAGGAACATGTACATATCTACACCGTGACACGGACACTACTGTGGGGAACATCTACATATCTACACCATAACACGCACACTACTGTGAGGAACATCTACATATCTACACCGTGACACGGACACTACTGTGAGGAACATGTACATATCTACACCATAACACGCACACTACTGTGAGGAACATCTACATATCTACACCGTGACACGGACACTACTGTGAGGAACATCTACATATCTACACCGTGACACGGACACTACTGTGAGGAACATCTACATATCTACACCATAACACGTACACTACTGTGAGGAACATCTACATATCTACACCGTAACACGGACACTACTGTGAGGAACATCTACATATCTACACCGTAACACGCACACTACTGTGAGGAACATCTACATATCAACACCATAACACGCACACTACTGTGAGGAACATCTACATATCTACACCATAACACGGACACTACTGTGAGGAACATCTACATATCTACACCGTAACACGGACACTACTGTAGGGAACATCTACATATCTACACCATAACACGGACACAACTGTGAGGAACATCTCCACATCTACACCATAACACGCACACTACTGTGAGGAACATCTACATATCTACACCGTGACACGGACACTACTGTGAGGAACATCTACATATCTACACCGTAACACGCACACTACTGTGAGGAACATCTACATATCAACACCATAACACGCACACTACTGTGAGGAACATCTACATATCTACACCATAACACGGACACTACTGTGAGGAACATCTACATATCTACACCATAACACGCACACTACTGTGAGGAACATCTACATATCTACACCGTGACACGCACACTACTGTGAGGAACATCTACATATCTACACCATAACACGCACACTACTGTGAGGAACATCTACATATCTACACCATAACACGCACACTACTGTGAGGAACATCTACATATCTACACCATAACACGCACACTACTGTGGGGAACATCTACATATCTACACCATAACACGCACACTACTGTGAGGAACATCTACATATCTACACCGTGACACGGACACTACTGTGAGGAACATGTACATATCTACACCATAACACGCACACTACTGTGAGGAACATCTACATATCTACACCGTGACACGGACACTACTGTGAGGAACATGTACATATCTACACCATAACACGCACACTACTGTGAGGAACATCTACATATCTACACCGTGACACGGACACTACTGCGAGGAACATCTACATATCTACACCATAACACGCACACTACTGTGAGGAACATCTACATATCTACACCGTAACACGGACACTACTGTGAGGAACATCTACATATCTACACCATAACACGCACACTACTGTGAGGAACATCTACACATCTACACCGTAACACGGACACTACTGTAGGGAACATCTACATATCTACACCATAACACGGACACAACTGTGAGGAACATCTCCACATCTACACCGTAACACGGACACTACTGTGAGGAACATCTACATATCTACACCGTAACACGCACACTACTGTGAGGAACATCTACATATCTACACCGTGACACGGACACTACTGTGAGGAACATCTACATATCTACACCGTAACATGGACACTACTGTGAGGAACATCTACATATCTACACCATAACACGCAGACTGCTGTGAGGAACATCTACATATCTACACCATAACACGCACACTACTGTGAGGAACATCTACATATCTACACCGTGACACGGACACCACTGTGATGAACATCTACATATCTACACTGTGATACGGACACTACTGTGAGGAACATCTACACATCTACACCGTGACACGGACACTACTGTGAGGAACATCTACATATCTACACCGTGACACGGACACTACTGTGAGGAACATCTACATATCTACACCGTAACACAGACACTACTGTGAGGAACATCTACATATATACACCGTAACTCGGACACTACTGTGAGGAACATCTACATATCTACACCGTAACTCGGACACTACTGTGAGGAACATCTACATATCTACACCGTAACTCGGACACTACTGTGAGGAACATCTACATATATACACCGTGACACGGACACTACTGTGAGGAACATCTACATATCTACACCGTGACACGGACACCACTGTGGGGAACATCTACATATCTACACCGTAACACGCACACTACTGTGAGGAACATCTACATATCTACACCGTGACACGGACACTACTGTGAGGAACATGTACATATCTACACCGTGACACGGACACTACTGTGAGGAACATGTACATATCTACACCGTGACACGGACACTACTGTGGGGAACATCTACATATCTACACCATAACACGCACACTACTGTGAGGAACATCTACATATCTACACCGTGACACGGACACTACTGTGAGGAACATGTACATATCTACACCATAACACGCACACTACTGTGAGGAACATCTACATATCTACACCGTGACACGGACACTACTGTGAGGAACATCTACATATCTACACCGTGACACGGACACTACTGTGAGGAACATCTACATATCTACACCATAACACGTACACTACTGTGAGGAACATCTACATATCTACACCGTAACACGGACACTACTGTGAGGAACATCTACATATCTACACCGTAACACGCACACTACTGTGAGGAACATCTACATATCAACACCATAACACGCACACTACTGTGAGGAACATCTACATATCTACACCATAACACGGACACTACTGTGAGGAACATCTACATATCTACACCGTAACACGGACACTACTGTAGGGAACATCTACATATCTACACCATAACACGGACACAACTGTGAGGAACATCTCCACATCTACACCATAACACGCACACTACTGTGAGGAACATCTACATATCTACACCGTGACACGGACACTACTGTGAGGAACATCTACATATCTACACCGTAACACGCACACTACTGTGAGGAACATCTACATATCAACACCATAACACGCACACTACTGTGAGGAACATCTACATATCTACACCATAACACGGACACTACTGTGAGGAACATCTACATATCTACACCATAACACGCACACTACTGTGAGGAACATCTACATATCTACACCGTGACACGGACACTACTGTGAGGAACATCTACATATCTACACCATAACACGCACACTACTGTGAGGAACATCTACATATCTACACCATAACACGCACACTACTGTGAGGAACATCTACATATCTACACCATAACACGCACACTACTGTGGGGAACATCTACATATCTACACCATAACACGCACACTACTGTGAGGAACATCTACATATCTACACCGTGACACGGACACTACTGTGAGGAACATGTACATATCTACACCATAACACGCACACTACTGTGAGGAACATCTACATATCTACACCGTGACACGGACACTACTGTGAGGAACATGTACATATCTACACCATAACACGCACACTACTGTGAGGAACATCTACATATCTACACCGTGACACGGACACTACTGCGAGGAACATCTACATATCTACACCATAACACGCACACTACTGTGAGGAACATCTACATATCTACACCGTAACACGGACACTACTGTGAGGAACATCTACATATCTACACCATAACACGCACACTACTGTGAGGAACATCTACACATCTACACCGTAACACGGACACTACTGTAGGGAACATCTACATATCTACACCATAACACGGACACAACTGTGAGGAACATCTCCACATCTACACCGTAACACGGACACTACTGTGAGGAACATCTACATATCTACACCGTAACACGCACACTACTGTGAGGAACATCTACATATCTACACCGTGACACGGACACTACTGTGAGGAACATCTACATATCTACACCGTAACATGGACACTACTGTGAGGAACATCTACATATCTACACCATAACACGCAGACTGCTGTGAGGAACATCTACATATCTACACCATAACACGCACACTACTGTGAGGAACATCTACATATCTACACCGTGACACGGACACCACTGTGATGAACATCTACATATCTACACTGTGATACGGACACTACTGTGAGGAACATCTACACATCTACACCGTGACACGGACACTACTGTGAGGAACATCTACATATCTACACCGTGACACGGACACTACTGTGAGGAACATCTACATATCTACACCGTAACACAGACACTACTGTGAGGAACATCTACATATATACACCGTAACTCGGACACTACTGTGAGGAACATCTACATATCTACACCGTAACTCGGACACTACTGTGAGGAACATCTACATATCTACACCGTAACTCGGACACTACTGTGAGGAACATCTACATATATACACCGTGACACGGACACTACTGTGAGGAACATCTACATATATACACCGTGACACGGACACTACTGTAAAGAACATATACGTATGTACACCTTAACACGGACAGTATAACTGTGAGGAACATCTACAACTGGGCAGAACCCAGGTTCTCGATCCTATGATCAGCAGACCTCCTCCGTGGCCTAGCGGTAGAGCATCCGCCCGGGGGCGGAAGGTCCGGGGTTCGATCCCCGGCCGTGTCATACCAAAATACATTAAAAGATGGTACTTGTTGTTACCCTGTCCGGCGCTCGGCATTAAGGGGCTAAAACAAGGACTGGTCGGCTTTGAGTTAGTGTGCTGTGTCTGAGTGGGGTATTCATGTAAAACTGCCGCATGGTATCTCAGTGTGCTAGCACTATAAATTGGCATCAGTCCGGACTAGTACAAGCAGTCTAACACACATACACACACGTGCATACACGTCGCTTATAAGTGCCATTATCTTGGACGCGACGTTAGACCCCATTTTACCAACTCACCTATGATCAGCAAATCCTTGCAAAAGTCAGTTTCGAATCCTGAATACCAACCACGGCTAAGGGAAGCAACTACCTACGGCAATTGGAGGCGGCATATCTATGCATGGTGTGACGTATTGTAGCTTATAAAACATGTAATTTACCTAATTTATGGGTGTTGAAGTCAACATCAGTGAACATCCAGGACGTGTTCTCAGCAGCATAATTTCCCTCCAGTTTGTTTATTGAGTTGACAAAATAACCCAGGACAGGACCGAAGTAGGTAAGTTGAAATCTGAAATATATCATAGAATGAGTGTCTTGTTAAAGACTACTCGAACTACTCGCGTGGCGTGATGTTTGTGGTGTCTCCTACAAGCTGAGTGAGTGAGTGAGTGAGTGAGTTGGGTTTAACGGCGCTTTTAACATTATTCCAGTTATATCGCGGCGTGTCAGCGTGGGAGGAACGCCCGAAGTGATGTAGGTATTGGACGTTTACCACTTTGGTGAAACCCACTAGAACGGGTATGGGGCTGACAAACATATAAACATAATCGGTGGGAACTTGGATTCGAACCCAACAATAGCGGCGCCTTATAGACGACTGGGCCCGCCTTGTCACAACCCCACCCAAACGTGTTACAAGCAGATGAACTGTGAAATAACTGAACTGCCTGCCTCTGTCATGTCCCCCAGAGAACACCTCTAGAATGTCATGAATCATCGTGTTAGACAGCGACATTCTCCTACCAACCGACAAGAACTGATGCAGGCCCTCCAAGAGGGAGTGAGTGAGTATGGTTTTACGCCGCTTTTAGCAATATTCCAGCAATATCACGGCAGGGGACATCAGAAAGGGCTTCACACATTGTACCCATGTTGGGAATCGAACCCGGGTCTTCGGCGTGACGAGCGAACGCTTTAACCACTAGGCCACACGATCGTCAGTTCTATTGGCCATCAGTTTAGTTATATTAATTGTACCTGAAGCGTTCTTCAATGTCTGCCGCCTTCTGCAGGAAATAGATGAATTCCCGCTGGGGTTCGCCGTGCACGTCCACGCTGAAGTTGAAGAAGGGGGGCTTGAGGAAGTTCTGGGCGATGATCGTCAGGTCTATTTCATCCCCACAGATGCCGCAAGGTCCAGTGTAGCTAGAGTCAGGAAGTTTGCATCACACATCTTCAACCCTGATATGATACTTCTAAAAATGATATCTTTTACTTACTCATACTTCATTAGTGAGTGAGTGAATTGGGTTTACGCCGCTTTTAACAGTATTCCGCGGCGTGTCAGCTTAATTTGGGAGGAAAGCCCCGAGTGATGCAGGTCTCAGACGTTTACCAGCTCGGTGAAACCCATGAGCACAGGTATGGTGCTGACAAACCTAGAAACATAATCGCTGACCTAGTTGATGCTTGTCATCGTATCCCAATGACGTAGATCGATCCTCATGATATCACTTACTGTATTGTCTGGTCGAGACTCGATTATTTAACGACCGCCATTATATAGCTGGCATATTGCTGAGTGCGGCGTTAAACAACAAACAAACACATTAGCAGGACGGCCCCCCGACGCTATCTTCTGAACAGAGGTTATCAGATCATCACGATTAGACGTTTGAAGTAAAAGATCTGATTGTTATGGTATTGTTGGTTTACAAAATTTCACAAATAGAGAAAAGATTTTTCAGTTTGAGAACAGTCCCTTTTCCCTTCAAGCCAAATCTGTTGACCAACTGTGTTGCTTAAAATGCGCATCGAAGTGGACAAGTGACCATACAAGGGAGATAACTCCACATTCCCAAATCTGATTTTGGAGTTGGATTAAAACAGCAAAAATAATTAGGAAGTTGAAAGTGTATTTCAACTTAACTTGGTTTGAGTTCGTAATTGTTTATATCCATTGAGGTTAGTGTCAGTTTCAATCGAAACGAAACAATAATTCCGCCCAAAATTTCACAAATAAAGTTCTGAAACCTCGAAAAGGTCGCATTAAAAGTAACATATGTGGCTCCTGATTTGATGTGGCTGATGACATTTTTTCGTTTCGGCGACATTTGGGGTAAAAGATTTTTAAGCTCGCCAATTTTTAAATTTATTCGTTTATAACTCTTCAGTATATCCGTACATAGCAGTACAACGAAACTTGAGTTTGCAAAGGCGTGTTTATCCTACTTACGGGTAAATAAGGGAAACAGCTCCGTACACAAACACAAGGATCAGGACGAGCGTTGCCTGCATGTTCAGTGTGCGACAGGAAATGACGCTCACGGTGACTCTCCCGGTATATATAAGGGTTTATCGCTGAAGGAATTTATAAACAGATAATTTGTGTCTATTATTAGCAGCAGAGGTGCTAAGATAAAGTATTCCCTGGCTATTCTATCACGAGGGTACGCACGAGACACGTTAGTCATTGTGACATTATATGTACGTTAAAAAGCCGTGAAGGTCTTGGATGGAACTGGTCATTGTGACTTAACAGTAAGTACACCGAGTGTACCGTGTGTATGAAATGACTGTTTTGTGTGGCTATTTCATGACCATAAATTAATTGTATTTTCTCAGAAACATAAAAGATACTGAATTATACACTGACACATGTATTATAGTATTTGGAAGCCTAACTCAATCTTGGTGGCCAGGGGAGTCCCAAGTTTATGTGCAGAGTTGCGTCCCTTGACACATCCTATTATCATGAGTTCGTATATCATGTTCGCCCTAAATATGATCATTGGTTTGAAAGATCTGTACAAGTTATGTCGTAATAATAGTTTACCCTCCAAATAAGTGTTCCTCTTTAATCATGCTTATCGATTCGCTGATCCGAGAGATTGTGGCTCATAGTCATAGAGTTATCTCCCTTGAGTGTTTCCGCACTATCTACTGCTTGATACCTGGGGTCCCGATTATGACCCTTGGACTGTATCTTACTCGAGAGGGGCCGCCTCCGTGGTCTAGTAGTAGTACGGCCACCTGGAGAGCGGAAGGTTCGCGTTTCGACCCCCGTCATACTAAAAGACGCCAGCACTATCAATCGGAATAAGTCCGGACTAGTACAAGCAGCCACGCACGCACGCACACACGCACGCACGCACGCACGCACGCACGCACACACGCGTGCATGTGCACGCACGTCGCTATATAAGTGCAATAATCTTGGACGCTACGTTAAAACCAATCTCATTAAACTCAGAGCTTAGTTCTCGCTATTGCTAAACAAAGTTTGTTTAGCGGCAGCAAGAACTTAGATCTGATTTTAATGAGATTGCGTTAAACCCCATTTCACCTCACCTCTTACTCGTGACGGTAGGCATTTCAACATTGAAAATTTCCATGAAATATCGACATCCGCGGACGAGATAAACATCTCATCCATGCGTACTGCACTGCAGAATCCAGAGTTCCACTGGCCCGGGAACCAGGGTACCAAAAGGGTGTTATCGCCATCCTGGTCGAGCTCGTGGATCTCTCCAGCGAGGTACATGTAGGTATGCGTCTACGTGGTAAGGTGAAATGGGTTTCACGTCGTTCAAGATTATCGCACATGTATATCGACCATGTGTGTGGGGGTACTTGTACAAAAAGAGTACACACCCATGTTTGATGGTGGCTGCAAATAAAACAAATAAGAAATGGTTATTCGATTGGGATGTATTTGAAACGGGTATCACATATAGTTTTGTTTTGGACCTTTAGTTTGAAGTGTTTCGATGACTGGTGTCAGTCTGGTAACATATGCTAACGTTTGTAATGTTTTCGTCAAATCCAATCAGCAAGTGTATACTCTCTGTTGCTCGGCAGTTCAGTCCGGACCTTGCCGGTTTTATAGTGAGAGTCCACTGATAGATCCTAATTTTTATCCCCTTAATGTCGGGCAGGGTAACAAGTACCATCTGTTAATGTTTTGGGGTATGGCGCGAACCACTGACCCTCCACTGGAACATGGAGGCGGTCTATGATGTGTTATGGATGTGATTGTTGGGGGCTTTAAATTGTAAGAAGCGCCCCAAAAATATACCTTTCGTGACCACAGATTTCACTTACACATTCCCAACGGTCATTTGATGGAGGGAAGAAGCTGTTGTCACACCAGTTCTGTGAGAAAGTAAAGAATGGATACTTGTTTTGATAGTTAATTTAGTAAAACATTAGGCGCTGGTCAATGATTGTTACTCTCAGCAAACGTCTCTCTGTCTTTCTCTGCTTCTCGTTGTCATCCCCCGTGTCACCGCCTATCTTTCTCTCTCCCACTCCATTGGGATTCTGGATTAGAATAGGTCGCCAGCAACCTACGGGTTGAATCCCCTCTCTCTATCCCTCTCTCCTCCTCTCTCTCCCTCTCGTTCACTCTCTCTCTCTTTCTATCTATCTCTCTCTCTCTCTCTCTCTCTCTCTCTCGCAAAGTCGCGTAAGGTTTATTTCATCTCTTGTCTGCGACCACATGTGTTAACTTATGTCATTACCCAACAATAATTGCCACTCAAAGTGAAACGAAGTTCAAATCTCTTGGACATGGCTTAAACTGTGTTATGTTAATATTGGTTCAGCCAAGTGCAGTCTTAACAACCTATCTACAACCTCATTACCATGCAGACCCACATGACCCAGACAATATCACAACTAAATGATTTGAGAAGAGTCGTTCAATTTTATTTCATATACGATATGACATTGAACCGCCTTAATAGCTACCATCCAATCAGTGAATACAAGTGCTTCATGATAGTTTTCATCAACCCAGTTGGAAGTATTGCCGTCATCTCCAGTCAAGATGTCGACACATGGATGAAATTTAGAAGTCCAGAATGTAAAAATAAACGCCTGATCAAGGCACTACAAATCAGAGTACAGAGTTGCGACCCTTAAGCATATCAGAATCCTGTGATCGATCGAATCAGATTTACTCTGATTATGATACTTGGTTAGTCAGCACCATGCCAAAGGGGTGAATGTTTAAGACCTGCGTCACGCCGGGTTTCCCCCAACATTAAACGCCTTAGTTAACGCTTAGTCAACATAATTCCATCCTCGATGATGTAGGACATTATATATGCATACGTCAGACTAATACCCTGGGCCCCGTTCCTCAAAGCGATCTTAGCGCTACGATGATCGTAAGCAGATGTTAAAGTATGGGACTTAGGATCACCTTACTGCTAAGATCGCTTTGAGGAACGGGGCCCTGGACCCTTTTGACACCAGGGGCGATGAGGTAGTTTTGTGGTTAAAGCGTACGCTTGTCTCGCCAAAGACCCGGGCTCGATTCTCCATATGGGTTCAATGTGTGAAGACAATTTCTGCGCTCCCCCGCCGTGATATTGCTGTAATAGCGCTAATGGTGGTGTAAAACCATACTCACTCACTCACATATTTGCCACCAAAGCTTCGTTCTGAGTCCGTTTCGACAGACGACGCTATCGTCCACGACAGCCACAGAGGGATTTATGACTAGTACTCAACTCGCCGTGTCGCATACCAACTCAAATAGTACTGGGAACGCACGGTACGATAAGGACTTCCCATCCCCAATTTTAACTCTCGAGGAACACCCTTTTCCAATTTAACCAGTCAGTGTTTTTTTTCTAATTTGGTTTAAAAACTACATAATAATGTATCTATATAAAAATAATTGATCCGCATTTTTTAATGCAACTGAAACAGAAGAGTAATTTTGTTGTGCTTGTTGATTTCACGATCATGTGCGAGAGAAAAGTCTGTCCTAGAGAGTGAGCGAGTGAGTGAGTATGGTTTCACGCCGCATTCAGCAATATTCCAGCAATATCACGGCGGGGGACACCAGAAATGGGCTTCACACATTGTACCCATGTCGGGAATCGAACCCGTGTCTTCGGCGTGACGAGCGAACGCTTTAACCACTAGGCTACCCGACCGCCTCTTCTTGAGTGAGTGAGTGAGTGAGTTGGGTTTAACGCCGCTTTTAACATTATTCCAGTTATATCACGGCGTGTCAGCTTAATGTGGGAGGAAAGCCCGAAGTGATGCAGGTCTCAGACGTTTACCACTTCGGTGAAACCCACGAGCACGGGTATGGTGCTGACAAACCTAGAAACATAATCGGGGTGAACCGGGATTCGAACCCACAACCATAGGTTTCTGGCTTGTCCAGGGGACGCAACTCTGCACAGCGAATCGCGGCGCCTTAGACGACTGGGCAACCCGTGCCCCCCGCCTCTCCTGGATTCTCAAAGCATGTTTGGTGGGTATGGCTATTTATAGAATGGAGATCTCATACACTGGATAATCGAGATGATATAATTGCATCTAAAATGTATTTGTAGACGCCCTTGGTCGCGCCAGAAACCTATGATTGTGGGTTCGTATCCCGGTTTGCCCCGATTATGTTTCTAGGTTTGTCAGCACCATACCCATGCTCGTCGGTTTCACCAACTGGTAAACGTCTTAGACCTGCATCACTTCGGGCTTTCCTCCCACATTAAGCTTGACACGCCGTGATATAACTGGAATACTGTTAAAAGCGGCGTTAAACCCAACTCGCTCACTCACTCACTCACTCACTCACTCACTCATACATTGTAATCACCACATCTACATTTTAGTCTTATATCTATTTAGGGCTGAGTTTAATTTCTCTCTGAGAATTAGAATAAAACTGTACAAGTAACACCGAAACATTTAAATAAATTTATTCTTGGAGACTGACCAAGAAGGTTGGGATATTAAAATAGATGAATGAAAAGTAAACCAGAAAATATTAGGAACCCAATTCAACTAAGACTTTGCCGTACTGTTCACTCGGGTTGATCTGAAATAAATTGTTTTGGAGGTCCCCCAACACAGGAATAGTTTTCTCACTTCTCGTTAACGAAAAAAAAGGTTCGTGATGGATAAAATATTTTGTCCCCCGACATGGAATCCCCATGGGGAGACAACCATTATGGTACAGTGGGCATTTTCTGCCTGGGAATCTCAACAGGTAGTCAAACATGTGGTACTGGGGAACTGTGCTGCCTTGGAATCCTAACAGGTAGACAAACATGTGGTACTTGGGACCTATTCTTTCTGGGAATCTCAACAGGTAGACAGACATGTGGTACCGGGGACCTGTGCTGCCTTGGAATCCTAACAGGTAGACAAACATGTGGTACAGGGGACCTATTCTGTCTGGCAATCCTAACAGGTAGACAAACATGTGGTACTGGGGACCTATTCTTTCTGGGAATCTCAACAGGTAGACAGACATGTGGTACCGGGGACCTGTGCTGCCTTGGAATCCTAACAGGTAGACAAACATGTGGTACA